AGTTACTCCTTGCCACCCTTGTGTCCATCCTTTGGGGGGGGCTCGGGTATTTCACCTCCGAGTTGGTTTTTGGGTGAGGGATTCTCTGGCAGGGGTGGGTTCGGTCTGCTCTTAGGTGGAAGACTTGACCTCTCTAAGCCTGTTTCCGTTTGGAGGTGGGAGGAAGCTTCCTGCATGAGGAGGGGAGTGACCACTTAGGGAGACAGCCCCTCGCCCACACAGACAGGCAGTGGGTGTGCTGGGCTGGAAATCCCCACCCACACCTTTGTGAATGGAGAAGGGGATCAGACCACAGGGACCAGGTCCCTCTCCTCTTCTGAACAGGCAGCTCTCAGCGGGGGATGGGGCAGGAGGAGGCAGCTGATTCCTCCAGGCAAAAGACCTGCTGCCACTCAGCCTTGGTGGTGAGGGGGTCCCCCCCCTTTATGTCCACTTGACCCCCACCATGCGGGAGGGCTGAGGCCCCTCTCCAGAGTCCTTTTGGGGCTAGGAGCTGTGTCTTCTTATCAGGGGTCTTGGGGTAATCTGGGAAACAGAATCTGCCTCTGGCCTCATTGGTCTCCACAACACTTGAATGTCCTCAGTTAATACAGCTCGTGATGTAGAGAGAAATGCCACAACCTGGCTGGGCCTCAGACCTGGGAGGACGCAGCGTCCGGTGTCATCGGGATGAACGAGGGAGACCACAGCTTATGAGCAGGGAAGACAAAGGGGGAGCACTGGGGTGTGTTTGTTTCGCGTTTATAATGGTCAGTGAATGTTAAAGCCTTCTAAAATATTTCCTTTAATTATCATTCATAGATGTTTCATAACATTTAATTACAGTGGAGTTCTGGTGCCGAGAAGCTGCTCTGGTGGAGAGAGATGGGCACTCTCCTCCCGTGGGATGTATACCCTCTGAAAACCCACTGGAGGGTCAGCTGGGGCTCGGTTACTGTGAATTTGTTACAGTGGATGACTGATGAAATGGATACCACTTTGTATACCTGGAAAATGCTGAATGAACGAACGTGGTTATATACATATACATATATATACATAGAGAGAGAGGAGTGTTAGTTCATATGAAACAATCCTGACAATCGCAGCAGCTTTCCACCCTGTCCTTTCTCTAGCTTTTCTCCTTCAGTGGAGACTCCTGCTAGCTCCAGAGTCCCTACTGTGTGCCCGTCACAGCCGTCACCTTGTGAACAAAAAGGCCAGGCCCTTTGTGCCTCAGTTCTCGGGGGCCTTCTTCCCTGCAGCTGGTGGCTGTGTTGCATCCAGCCAGGGTAGCCTGTCTCTTGTCCCCGTCACGGCCCAGCCTGAATTCCTAAAAGGGGATGTGCTGGGTCAGAAGGTTTACGGGTACTTGAGAACATTCTCTTGAACAGCTTTAAGGTGCCCAGGTACAGGTTAAGCCTGAGGCCATGAGGGAAAGGATGGGCAGTCTCAGCGAGCCTTGGAAATGGGATGCGGTCACTGGAATCGATGGACTCAAGGCCTGTGAAGTTTTTAAAGTATGTAATTTGGTGGTTTTGATCCTGTTGTGGAGGTGTGTGGCAGGCACTGTCATGTCATTTTAGATCTGCTCATCTAGAATTGGGGGCCTCTTAGGACTGGCCCCTTTCACTGAGTCCATTCCTGGCGTTCACCAGGACCATTCTTTCAGGCTGCATACTAGGCCGTGTGGTTGACATCTGATCCAATCTGTAGTTTTTAGAAATAATGCCGCTGAGGGGAAATACGCATCCTTTTTTCTGGGATGCTGACCTAGGTGTTAATGTCAGGGTCATAGGCTAAGTCCACGTCTTGCTATGTGAGACACTGAACAGGTTGGGTTCCCACCAGCAGTGGAGAGAGGCAGGTGTTTCTGTGCCCCCTGCCACCACTCATTACTGTCTTCCTGTAACTATCATCTTCCAGTTCCATTTGCAGTTCTCTTAGCCAAGGACAATAAGCATTGGATTTACAGAGGTGAGCAAGGCTTCTATGTGTCCGGTCTCCTAGCAGCTGAGACAGTAGCAGCGTTTTGGATACATGCTTCTGTCACATGTTGCACGATCAGGAAGGGTGTGCTCAGGGTCACATCCTTCCCCCGTACCACTTGAGACTGTATGTTGAGCAAATTGTGAAGCTGGACTATGTGAGGAGGGATGTGAAACACCTGCTGCAGAAGATCAAGGACTACAGCCTTCAGTATGGATTATAAATCAACATCAAGACAGAGATCCTCACCACAGGCCCAACAGCCAATGAAGGATGGAGGAAAGTCTTCCTCTGTCAATGACTAATCAACAATCAATACCCTTGGTACCAGCAGTTGGGAAATTAGGAGATGTATATGGCATTGGGCAAATCTGCTGTCAGGAACCTCTCCAAAAGACTGAAGAGCAGTGATGTCAGTTTGAAGTGCTGGTTCATGCCATGGTCTCCTCAATCACCTGCTGTTCATCGGAGAGCTGGACAGGAAGGACGGCAGAAGAACTGATGCCTTTGAGCTGTGGTGCTGGAGAAGAGCGTGAATATCCCCTGCACTGCCCTGTGAACAGATAAGTCCTGGACAGGGAGGGTCAAGAGTGCTCCTGGGAGGCAAGGATGAGGAAGCTTAGTCTTTCGTACTTTGGACGTGTAGGTGAGGCTACTGCTTGGAAAGATGGAGGGCCAGTGGAGAAGAGAAGGATGGGGCCGGGCTCAGGCCGGCTGTCCATAGGGTCACAATGAGCCTATGAGATGACTCAGTGAGTTCTGGAGCTGTTGTCAGGTGATTCAAAGGCACCACCGACCACTTAATGTTTCGGGTTGTCCCGTTTCTGGGTGTGGGGATGGGTCCTTAAGTTTAGTTCTTGGCTTTTAGTGCTGCTTGTTGTTGTTGTGTACTGTTAAGTAAGAACTAAGAACTGATCCATAGCTGATCCTCCAGCGGGTGTTCAGAGGAAGGAAACACTCCTGCAGGGCAGCTGGTGGGTTTGAACCGTGTGCCTTTGAGACTGTAGTGCAGCTTCTTACCGCTAGCCACCAGAGCTCCCTTTTGTAAGGCCTTGAAACCTAACCGATCCTTGGCTTAATTCTGCTCGCTCTCCATTATTTTATCCTGCCGACTTTCATTCTTTGTGGCTGGTGTGACTTCCTGGCTTTTTAAAAAATAACAATGAGACGCTGAAAGACGCGGACCACGCAGGTGGCAGGTGAGGGTCCCATGGCTGCAGTCGGCCCCAGGTCCCGCTCCCTCCTCGGCTGAGTTGCCCTCCCCACCCCGCGGCACAGACTCACCTCCTTGAGCCTAATGGAGATGCCCGTAGGGTATCATCTTGGGGTGACCTCCTGGCCATCATCAGCAACACTGTGGAAGGGACTGCTGGGGGACGTGACCTCTGCCCAGGAACCCATATTTGGAGCCCCCAGGAGCAGCATGACGCCACCCACAGACACACCTCTGTCACAGGCCCAGTTCCTGCGCCCAGAGCAGCTGCTCAGCCCCAGGGTTGAGGTGGCTGCTGTGGGACCCTCACCCTCCACGTTGGCAGCCCGTCCCGCTGAAGGAGGGGGATGGGGCAGCCTGAGATGGCAGTAACCAAGCTCCCGGCCCCATGATAGGGGTGACTCAGGGCTGTGGCTGAGGGGGCGTTGTGTGCTAAATTTGTTGGGGGTTCTGACGACGGGGGTCACTCTGCTCCTGGCCTTCACTTAGTCTCGAAGTGTCTGCTGTTGGCCCTTTTGGGATCCCCAAGTAGCAGGGTGAGGGACAGGCATGTGTGCATCCCATTCCAGGTCACTTGGGGAGCAACGTTCATCTGGATCCTAATGGCCTTGTCCCCTGGTCCACACACTTGTGCGCCCCCCCCCCTATGAGGCAGCACGGGGGCAGTCTGGCAGGCCTGTGGTGACCAGCAGGCTCGCACTTCCCTTTCAACACTTAACTTGGTGCCATTGAGCTGGAGCCTCTGAGGGAGGGGCTGCGAATGGCACAGGAGGAGAACGCCCACCTGTCTGTCTCAGGTGGGGCCGGGTACAGCGTCGGCAGGAAACCCTGGCTGCTCCGAGGGCACCGAGGCATGCCAATTGCGGGCTAGAGAAGGGCTGCCTGGAGGAGGGGGGCCTACCTAGCAGGTGGATAGCAGTAGACCCTGTGTTCCCACCCATACTAAGATGCAGGAGGACAAGGGGCAGCTCTGCTTGTTGGGGCCGAACCTTCACCTGTGTGACGAGGGGACACAGTCCCCCGGAAGCTAACTGTCCAGGTTGTTCCTTTATTGCGCATGATCCCCAGGGTTGGGATGTGGCTGGTTAGAGGGGCATCAAGCTGTGTCCTCCTGACATTGTCAGGCCGCATGTCCAGCTCACCTGGTCTCTGTCCCCACCTGAAGAGGGGGACTGGTGTGAAGGCTGAGTTGTGTGTTCTTGGCCTGAAGGGCGGGGTGGGGGACAGGGGGCGGGAGGATACAGGGCTGGTGGCACTGCCTCTGGACAGCCAGCGAGTGGCCCAGATGCCAGGGAAGTGACACACCACCTGGAGGCTGTGGGCCAGTCAGAGCAAAGCCTTGTCTGCTGCTAATTGTTGGCTTTTGCCCTGCCCCCTGGAGGGGGGCCTTAGGTAGGTAAGGTAGCAGGAAAGAAGGGAAAGTAGAAGGTCCCCTTGCACACCTCACCCTGCTGACAGGAAAGGGAGCTTGAGGAGGCTGGCTCTGCTCCTGTGTGTGGGGTGGGGCAGTGGTCTTCCTCTCTGGACGAGGTGACCATGACAGCAGGGAGGTGGCAGCCCTGGGAAGACCCCTCTCCCAAGTGGTGGAGGGTGGAGCTCAGAAACTTTGTGGTCCTTGGAGGGGACCTGGGCACCAGACATGGCGCAGGGGGTACAGGGGTGCTGGAGCCCTGTGTAGTGAGGTGTGTGGGTCTGAGCAGCAGGGTTCTCTCTATCATTGTGCTGGTGCGATGGAGGGGTCAGCGTGGGATGGGGCTGTGAGCCTGGAAGGGACCTGGCACTGGGGGTGGTGACTAGCCTGTACCCTCGCGTCCCTTAGAGTTCCAAGCCCAAGCTGCAGACGACCTGTTCCAGCGTGCAGGAGGTGCGCTGCTGCACCCGTCTGGAGATGCCCGACAACCTGCACACCTTCGTGCTCAAGGTGAGTGTGTGTGTGTGTGTGTGGTCCCGGGGTGTGGTGGAGGTGCCGCTGTCCTCACGCTGCTGCCCCCCAGGTCAAGGACCACACGGACATCATCTTTGAAGTGGACGACGAGCAGCAGCTCGACGCGTGGATGGTGGCACTGCAGGACTGCACGGGCCAAGGGTGAGGTGCGCCCCCACCACCCCACCCCCACCCCGCACCCCGCACCTCCTCA